ACTCGTCGTCTGACCCAGAAGCATTAAACCGTAAATCTCTTGAATGACAAATAACCACAAACCGAATGTGAAATAAAATTAAAACTAAAATAAAGTAAAAATATTTTGTTTACACTCTCTGTAGGTAAAAGTGTAAAAAAAAAACAATAATTTAAAAACAAAAAATATACACAAAAAATAATAAACTTTGTTTAAACAAAATTCAAATTTCAAAATAAAAGTGAAAATTTAGTAAAAGGAGTTGAGGTGAGTTTATTTTAATTTTATTTAAATTTTGAGCAAAATTTTTTCTGCAAACGCATACGAATTTTTTAAAACTTTTGTAATAATTTCATCAAATTTCATCAAATTTCATCAAAATTCATCAAATAAATTATGTTAACAATAGCAAATAATTTATGCATTCATGTACCAACGATCACATTTCAACAAAGTGAACTCGTATAAATTCAGGCCTTAAGAAATTGTGTCAAACCATTTAAAAATCGTTCAACTCTGCACTTTGTTGCGTTTAAATCTGTGCGGGTTTTTATCTTGTGAAGTTGATGAGATTCTAATGCTCTTACGAACAGAAAAACCATAGAGCATGAATGCGATTTGCACAATGCACACAAGTAACTGGGATCTTCACGGCACTCAATCAACGAGTTGCGCTGTCTTAACTTAAGATAAAAACAAGAATGCCATAGTCGAAACTACAACACCCTTTACACACACGTTTTTAATGAAGATTAGTTTTAAAGCCTTTTCACTAAACTACTTTTTTAAGATAATGACTATTTATACCATTCATATCAGACTATTCATATCATATCAAACTAGTTCTCTAATAGGTACATTATGTATTCTATACATATCTGTAATCGAAAAAACTAAGAATGACAACAAGTGCACCGTGGTTTATAAAAAATGTTAACCTACATAGAGACCTTTGTCGCGGTTGTGACTCTGAAGAGAAAACAATTTTCTATCTCATGTGTCAGTGTCCATCTTTAGCTAGGAGAAGATCAAAAATCTTGGAGGCCCCTTTTCTGACCGATCTGACTGAGCTGTTGAAGACTTGGCCAGATTTATAGAATTGTCGGATTCATTTTTCTTCAACTAAATGTGGGAGTCATTGCCTTTTTCTGCGTTGGAAGTATACTGATCACCTTGTCTATGTACGAACCAACAATATTCCTGTGGTACCACAACGGACCATTATTTTAAACCCAAGTAGGCTTTCTTGGTATACAAGTACGGCACTTCAACCTAACCTAATCTAGAGACTTGGGCGTATCAAGAGTAATGGAAGAAGCTGCTCGATGTAGCCGTCAGTACCTTTTAAAATTTCTACTGAACAAAGGCCACAAACGTTTAAAAAAGAAGGACGCAATTAACATCTGCTAAGTTTACTTAATTTTTATTTAATTTAAAATATTATAAATTTTATTTGATTAAATTGAATGTGATTTTTAGTTTGATTTATTTAATTCAACCTAATTTTATTACAAATTATTTAAAGTCTTAATAGTTTTTTCCAAAGCAATGGCCTAGGTTAAAAATAAATTTAGTTTTTAAGATTTGATTCACTTATCGTTGGTTTCTAAATTAAGAATTCAATAAAAAATTTATAAATTGAAAAAAAAAATCTGTATCTGTATAATTAAATAATATACAAAACAGTCATTCATCAGACAATGTATATTTTCCTAACTTGAAACTAGACACATCGAAAGTAATATAATACTATGTTCAGACAGCTAAATTTCCTTAATATCGAAAAAATGAAATTAAGTTAATTTGGAAAGTGTTCATACTGCCCCAAATTAAGTAAATCATGTATAACAGCCTACACAAAAAACAAGGCTTATGTTATTTTATCTACAATTTTATCCAAACCCATTCTTAAAGGACCACGAAGAATTTTAAGAAATTGATATAGAATGCATCCTAACAAATTTAAAACAAAATAAATTGGTTAAAATAATGCGAGTTGTTCTTAGATTAAAAATGCATATATCACATAGACCTTTCATATTTAGGTGAAGCATACCACTAGGTTAGGTTACGTTGTACCGGTGATCCCAAGGAATCCACTTGGGTTATAAGCCCATTATGTTACCTTATAAATAAAAACCCAAGGGTTAGAACCACTTAGAACATTCGACACAGCTTATAAGATAGATAAATGAATAGATAGTTCTTTATTTCAAAATATTTTAACTAAAACATCGGTTGGAGTAGCTCATAAATATATTGAAAAAAATAAAGAATACGATACTGGCTTAATAGTCATCTGTCGGTGGTGTTGGATTTATATAAATTTGCCTTCTAGCTTAAAACTATAATAATAATATAAGCCGTATTCCATCAGGAACATGGACTATTTACATAGAATCGCCAAGTACTTCCGTTTAATGCCAAATGTCTCAATTCGTTAAATAATTTATTAGTTTCCTGCCGGATTATGCTTCTCCATGTGGTGCGAGGCTTGCCGGGTCTTCTGTTGCCTTGTGGATTCCATTGCAGGGCAGCATGGCAGACCTTTTCATAAGGTTTCCTTAATGTGTGCCCGAGTCAGTTGTATTTCCGTCGTTTTATTTGTATATTTATGTTTTCTTGGTTTGAGAGTTGCAACAACGTTTCATTGTCCACCACTCGTGGCCAGCAAATTCTCAATATATTTCGCAGACATCTGTTGGTAAAAGACTGCAGCATGCGGTTAGTTTCAATGTTCACCAACCATGTTTCAGAGCTATACAGCAAAATCGATTTGACACATTCGTTATATATATTGATCTTAGACTTCGGAGATAGTTTGCTTGAGCTCCAGATGTTACGGATAGTTGCAAATGCAGATCTAGCCTTGTTAATTCTGTTTCGTACGTGAATGTATTGCATTTATTATGCTTCCAAGGTAGCAGAAATTTTCAACGGTTCCAATATAGGTGTTACTGATTGTGAAAGTGGGAGCTTGATTTGATTTAATTATGCATGCCTTTGTTTTACTTATGTTGATTCGTAGACCCACCAGTGCAACTGTAGTTGCAAGGGCATCAATTTTTGCCTGCATATGCTCTTTATTTGACAAAAGTAAAACTATGTCGTCCGCATAGTCGAGGTCTTCTAGGTGTTGGTTGACCCTCCATAAAATGCCCCTTCTTTCAACAGTGATTTTTTTCAACACGGCTTAAAACTATTCACAATTCAAAAAAAAAAAATGAAAGTTTAAAGATTTCAAATTAATCGCTTATGTTCGTTTATAATTAGTTTTCTGTATTTCAAAGCACTAGTAATATAGTTAATCAATCTGGATAATTTTCCTTATTTAGCATACTGATTACTTGCTCTTCCACTAAAGATTCTCTTTCAAAACAAACTTATTTAAAAGGCTTTAATATAGCACAACAGCCTAAGAAATTCTGTATGCTTCACATATCACTTGGGACACACGTAGTAAATTTGATTTGAGCTGATCCTCAGGATGCCTTTCTAACGTAATACCTAACGGTAGTTCCAGGGGGGACTCTCCGTCCGGACATGAGGACATGTTTTTAGCGGATTCAAGTTTTGAACTGACTTAGGCTTTCGATACTTTTGAGTCCTCGTTAAATAAACTTTCTTATAGAGTACCCAGTCCAGTAAACTTTCTTGAGGTACTCAAAGCACACACAAAATGTCATTTCATTTCTGGAATTACACCCTAAAATTAAATTATTTTTAATTCTTATAATAAACACTGGAACCCTATAAAAAGCACGTTATAGGTAGAATAATATTGCTCCATCCAAGTGTCCTCTTTTGAACCCGATGTAATGTTTTGATATGATTACGAGTTTGTTGAATGTCAATAAAACTTGTTATAAAAATTTTATGATTTTTATAATATCGTATATATATATTTAAATACAAAATTTTAATATATAAAAAAACTAACAAACAGTCTTTTACAATTTCGTTTAAATTTTTTATTTAAAATATAAATAAACGGAATAGTGCCAGTCGACTGATGTGCTAATTTTTTAAATTTTATTGACAGAATAATATAAAAATTTTAATTTTTTACAAATTTATATAAACAAAAGAATTTATTTCAATATTTCACGAACTTATTTCACACTTTAATCAGAATTCTTCAAATTTTATGTATAAAATAAAAAATTAATTAAAATTTTTAACATTAACAACAATATATCATAAATTACAAATATTGATATGGTAACATGTGAGAGAATGTTACCATTTTTTTTTTTAAATTAATTCTAAAAATATTTGAAATTATTTTTAACACTGCTAAAATTTTATTTTTAAAAATCTTGTCTTACTTTATTTTATTAGTTTGTTAATTAAATTTAAGTTTATTAAAGAAATCAATTGAAAACTTCACTGAAAAGTTAATTTTTTAATTTGATAAAAATTAAAATTAAAAATAAAAAAAAATCTATTCATTGATTTTATTTCTACGTTAATTTAAGAACAAGAAAATATAAACAAAATTCTTTACAATCTGTTAAAAAAATAAAATTAAAGGAAAACTAAAAAATGAAATTAAAAACTACATAAATTAATTATTTGTTTTTATTAAAATTTAATAAATATTATATTAATTATAATATAAAATAAAAATAAATAAAATATTTAAAATATTCTAAAAAAAACTAAAATTATAATTATTCCAAAAATTTAAAAAAAATAGCAACAAAAAGTTGTCTAAATTTTAATTAAAATATATAATTAACCTATAGTTCAAACATTTATCATACACTCAATGCATAATTTATATATACACACCTTTAAAAATAATATAATAATAATAATAATAATAATAATAATAATAATAATAATAATAATAATAGAATAATAAAATAAAGTGAAAATAAAGTAAGATGATTATAAAATAATATGATAATAAAATATGATATAATGTAAAATGAAATTAACTAAAATAAATTAAATTAAGTTTTAACTTATTAATTATTTTTTTTATTTTAAAAATAAACAATCAAGACTCATCCACATTCAATAAATAATATAAAACTTTGGAACTGTAGTAACATCACATTATAGCTGAACCATTCGATTAACAGATTATGGATCCCAAACAAATATGATTCATATGCTTCTTCATAATCTGATTTTCATAAATTTCTTTTAAATCCATTTTGTCAGTGTTTTTGGTCACTTTGAATTATAATTTCTTCTCTAAGTGAAGGAAAATTTACGAAAGCCATAAAGAGGCAATATTCTACACAGATGTATTCGGGATTATAAGAACACTACACAAACAGCATGAAAAAAATGATTTAGATTAGAATGAGTATAAACAGGGTACTGACTCTCAACCGACCTGAGCACCGCTACCATATGTGATTTTTTGTGCTGTAGTACACCCTAACTGACAGAAGATATTCCGCCCTTCAATTGAAAGCCAAAATGTTAGCCGTTAAGGACCTCATAATGTCAGAAACTAAAAGTGATTCTCGACCCAGTGATCTCCTTCTGGCCCAGATCGAAGCTGAATAGTAACAGAGAATGTGACTGAAAGCCTCGTCTGCTTCTAAGCAGAGTCGACAATCTATCTCTTTAGGCAGACACATTTTGTTACTGTTATAACGCAGTCCGTGGTGACCCGTTAAATATCTCATCAGCAACCTCAACTCTGTTTGTTTTGCTGTTCTGGAAGGATACCTTATCGTAACTGTAAGGACGAACCAGTTCTTTTCGGTTGAAGGAAAAATAGCATGAAAAAGATGTTACTAACAGTACAATTTGCAATAACTTCACTGCTACATTTAAAGTATTCTTGAAGTTTATCTATTACTACCTGAAGTATTAAGAATTAGGTTCACTTTATTTATCATTAACTTATCAGAGACCCCTTTTATATTTAGTTGATACTTATAAACGGACAGACAGACGGATTAAAAATTCCTTGCACTCGAACAGTTTTAGAGTAATACAATAGATCGAGTTTGTTTTGGACAAAGTGATCGTATTACACCTAGAAAATAATCAATATAAAATACTATGTACCGAAAAAGGCTCAATTAAAAAACAGACATAGATAACTATGCTCAAGCATAGGTTTTTATAATTTTATAACTAACTATAACTATTTTCAGTACTTTCAGATCTAATAATTGGTGCTTTTGTGGGCCATTAAATTCTAGCATTTTTTTTGATATGAGTTGGTTTAATATATTGCTAACTTTTGTAAGTACATTACTATAACTTTTAATATAAATAGATAAAATAAAAATTTAATGAACTTTTGTTCTTAGCTTTTATTCCTACACGTAACACTGGGTAATGAGCCGAAATCAGTTGATGAAGAACTTCAAAAATTCCTCCACCGTGTTAATGACCGCTTGGCGGATTTGTATAACAAAGAAGTCTTAGCTGCTTGGCAAAATGAAATCAAAGGTCCCAACGATTTGGTAGCATTACTCCAATCCGATATAGCAACGCAGGAAATAATAAGCTATCTGAAAAAAATTTCCACAAAAGCAGCCAAATTTAAGCGATTAAATATCACCGATGAGAAACTTAAGACGCAATTAGCTAAAATACCTGTAGTTGGGTATGAAGTCTTAGACAATGATGATTTGGACACTATGTATGCCGTCACTACAAATATGAGTGATATATATAGAAACGTCAAGTTATGTTCATTTACCGATCCAAATAATTGTAATTTAACTCTCGTACCCGATGTGCAGCATATATTACATAGCAGTAAAAATATTGCAGAAATTGAATTTTATTGGTTGGAATGGCGTAAGAAGACTGGTACGGCAGCAAAAGACGATTTCATTCAATTTGTGGAACTCTATAGAAAAACAGCAAAATTAAATGGTATTATATTTGAATACATCAACTTACATTATATATAGGTTAAAAAATTTATCTACAATGCATATATCATTGTTTGTAGGATTTGCAAAACCTTCTGATTACTGGTTCAGAGATTTGGAAGAAAATAGTGTTGAAGCTTTTGATTTACTGGATAACATAATGACTCAGCTACGTCCATTGTTTGAACAATTTCATGCATATATACGTTCTGAGTTACGTCAAATTTATGGTTCGGAATTAATAGAGCACAACAAACCATATCCACAAAATTTGGCTGAAATTTTTATTGGCAATTCATACCGTCGCACTGAACCAGAATGGTATGTCAATTTACCATATAATGACGTAGGTTTACCAAATATTACCGAGGGTCTATTTAAACGCGCACTAAATAATTCACAACGCATGTTTTGGAATGTAGCCGAATATTATAGATCAATTGGTTTACCACAACTGGAAGAGTAAGTTAAGGTTATGTTTGTTAAAAATTTTAAACACTTATTGTTCAATGAAATACTTATATCTGTTGTAGAAAATTCTGGACTGATAATACGATGCCGAGAGCGGATACTGATGATGTGACTTGTTGGCATAAAGCTTGGAAATATTATGGAAACCAACATGTAAATTTATCCTATTGCCCAATAACAAATGAGGAGCGCTTTATGAATATGTTTGAAGCAATTTCTGATGTTTACTACTATCAGGCATACCAAGACCAACCAACACTGTTTGAAGATGAACCATTTCCCAATTTTAGTGATGCTTTGGGTAAAGTCTTTTCGATGGCAGCTTCTTCACCAAAATATTTGGAAAAACTGAAGATTATTGAAAATAAGTTTACAACGAAAGATGCAAGAATAAATCGACTTTATGTTATGGTAAGTTAAGTATTTTATCTTTAACTTATTTTTTATCTAAGTTGAGAGATGTGACTTCTTTTGGAATACTATTATAATACGTGCTTCTATTATATACAGTAAAAGCTGTGTTAAACATACGCTCTCATTAACGGACATCTGTCTTAATGATGGAATGTTGTTAGTCGTCAGTTTTCATGTTTCCTGTAGAGTACGTTCATTTATATGTATCTGCGAAAAATTGTTGGTCCCATCGGTATCCATTTAATATCTTCAACTGTAATATATAGACTATTATTTATTTAAATACAATTTATTTATTACAAATACCAATTAAAAAATAAGTGATACATTATGTAAGGTACTGTCAATTTATTATCAAGACTTTTTATTTAGATTAAATTTTACAAAACCGATTTCATATCCAGTTTAAGGTCTATATACATGAAATGAGACACAATCTATAAAGATTCAGATTTTTAGATATGTTAAGATACGTTTATTAACATTAAATTTATGAAATTATTCTACAAATGTATAAAAAATAAAAAAAGATGGGTTTTGATTTTGCTAAATGCTTAATGCACTTCACAAAATAGCTATAGTTTCTTTTATTTTAAATTATTTACATTTTACTTATTTATTTCAAAATTCTCTATGCAAAGTTTTGTTTGATTAACAAAAACACTGATAGACTAGTTCATATTAACAGACGTTGTCCGCCGGTTCACATATCAATTTAATTCCCAATAATTTATGACTCCATCCCTTTGTGATGGCAAGGATTCTTAACCTGAGCCCAGGCTTATATTCAATCATTTCCATTACGTTCTTTCTTATTCTAACTATCTTGCTTATATATTCTAATACTCCTTTATATAAGTCATCCTTTTATGGACATGTCTTCCAGATTTCTATGGACTACAACAATAAGAACACGTAATGGTTTCACCTCATCGTGATGATGAGGTGTATATATAATACAATTGTTCTTCAAAAACATTTATTCTTCCCATACATATGTATGAAGATAAAACAAAAAATTTTAATAAAATCATAAACAAGGGATATGACTCTATTATAAAAGTACATATAATAGAAAAGGTAAGAAGTTAGATTTGACGTCGGAAAACATTCATTATCCCATATGTTAGAAACCAATTATTTAGTATATACTTTGCAATAACTATTTCCGCTCATTTTATATATCCAATGAGTATTTTAATTTCATTTATAAAACTTTAATTCTATTAATTATTTATTTTCAAAAATGAAACAAAATGTTTCTTATCAGTGGTTATAAATATTGTTCAAAATTACCGGTACGTCTAAATTCATATATGGTAACAATTTTTAAAATTATCATATATAAGTTAAATTCAAATATATGCAAATCATATTTATATAGAAATAGGTGGCTACGGTTCATTTATATTTTTCAATAAAAGAAAACATATGTTATGTTTATGTATATAAACATTTTTTTTCATAATACATATAATTAATAAATATATAATTAAATATAAATATAAAAATATAATTGTTATAAGTTCTTGTTGTTATCACCACAATTTTTCGAATACCTCTGTTAAAACGTACAAATCCTTATACTCATGTATAATTATACACATGTTAGTATAATTATACAATTATAATTATAATTATACAATTATAATTATAATTATACAATTATAATTTTAATAATATTATAAGGAGTTTTTTTAAACAGTAGTGGACTACAACAACAAAAAATTTTATTTTTTATATTATTTTAATTATAAGTTCGATTCCTGGTACTTGCAGTCTCAAAAAAATAATTATTTACGAATAATTAAATACAAGAATTATTTCCAAGACCACTGATGATGGGTATTTGGCAATACTCGAAACAGCTGTATGGTCAGCCAAAAATTCAATTAATTAAAATAATATAAAAAATAAAAATTTTTGTTGTTGTAGTTCACTACTGTTCGAAAAAACCTCTTTAAGACATTTTTTTGTATATATTTATATTTTATATATACATGTATATATTTGTAATTATTTTCAAATTTATATTTACATATACATTTATATTAATCTATTAATTTATTTATCTTTTTATTTACTTTTAACTCCATTTACATTTTTATATATTATTATCTTTATATTTTTATATTTATTATATATATAATAATTTATGAGCGCGCTAATTGGTCATTTAAATAAAAATAATAAATTATAGTATTTTTATTTAAATCGCCAATTAGTCCGCTCATAAATTATAATATATTATATTTTTATTAATAATTATTATTAATAAAAATTATTATTATAAATAATTATTATTAAATTACTATATTTTTGATCATAATAAAAGAATAAAATTTTTATTATATACATATATTTATATTTATAATTTTATTTATATTCATGTTTATATTTATAATTGTATTCTTACATATATTTATATTTGTATTTACATTTATTCAAGTTGTAATGTTATTAATATAATATAATAATTTAATATAAGTATTGTATTCATATAATCATAATAAGGTATACTAAGGTATAATTCGAAGTAAAAACATAATTAAATAACATTATTTAATAAATCAATATATAACATAATATTCTTTATGAATTCTTTATATCCATGGCAAAAAAATATATTACGAAAAAGAAAGCCTGTAATTGAAAAGCTAATAACATTATTTAGATATAACAACTTTAATAAATAAAAGGCTAGGAATCAAGATTTTCATTTTATAGTTTTTTTAATTCACTTTCTAATAATAATTGACTCAAAAATTTTAAGGCTTGTATTTATACATGCTGATACATATTTATAAATATTACATGTTATTAAATTTATTTTACATAGTTTTTACACGAAATTAAAATAGAGAAAAGTTATGTTGTACTAAGTAATGTAACTATTTTTTAAATAATTTCTTACATCTAAAAATTATAAATATTTATAAGACATGTCAATAAGATAAATTTATAACTTTTTGCGTTATTATTAGTATTATTGTTCATATTATTATTGTTATTATTAATATTATTATCAATAGCATTATGTTTATACTATTTTAATATTAATATAAAAAATAATATTATATCTATTATTTATTTTAAATAATTGTTTTATTAATACTTAAGTAAGTTTATTATTATTTTAATGATTTAATAATTGATTAAAGTCATTATTTATATTATTATCATTATTAGTGTTGCTATTATCATTAATTGTATTGTTATTATTTATGTAACAATGATTACTATTAATATTATCATTATATATAAATAAAAACTTTCTTTTTTTGTTATTATTTATGATTTTTACTAATTTGTATGCTATTGAAATAGAAAATATCAACATGGAATGTCAAGTGACTTTTTTGAATGTATGATTTAATTACTTTAGTAAACAATTGTGATTAATTTTTTTATTTTTATTTTTTTGAAATTCATCGTTTTTGTTTATTAACAGTTTATGTTCAATTTAATGGATAATTCCGAAAAAATAACGACAATTAATTATCGAACGAAAACATTAAAAAGAGAAATATAGCTTTCAGTTTAGTATTTTTCAAAAACACTTGATTTCGATTATTTTTCAATACTCACTATTGAGTTCGTACCATATATGCTTTGTTTCTTTTATAGACTTGTTTCTTTTATAGTGTTAGATGTTATTTCATTAAGAGTTTCCTCTTTTTTACCTGCAGCATTCATTAAATATGTGATTATTGTTTATAACAAATGTATTATACATGTCAGAATTCTGTTGAACGTTAAATTAGGTATTCGTTATATTGAACATTTACTGAGTATAAATTACATAAAGCTTGTATAAACAATAAAAACAAATAAATAATTTAATATCTTGAAATTTGATCTTATTAAAAAAATCATGAAAACAAATGAATAATTTAATAACTTATTAAATTTGATCTTATTAAAAATATCTAATAATATCTATTTAATTTATATCGCCGTTTCTAAGTTTTTATTAAATTTCTTACGCAGAGCGGGTTACATAAACATTTAAGTTAATAATATTTTATTTTTTTAAACTGGTTAATTAGTCAATAGACTACTACTCTGTAGATGACTATAGAATATAGTCGATATATTAGTCAAAATAAAATAAAATTTTTAAAACAAAAATTTTTTTTTAAAAACCGATTCAAAAATAAAATTATTACTAAAGAACTGTTGGTCATTAAAACAATAAATTATTTAAATTAACAGTAAATATTTAAATTAGGAACATTATTTTTTAATTATTTTTATTTTTTATGTTCATACAAGCTTTAGTAATATATATAAAATAAAATATACACTTAAAAACGCATAATTATTATTGTAATTAACTATTAATTATAGAAGAATTTACTTTAAATATAAATTTAAAAATCACTAGTATAAACTGCTTCCTACCAATCTCAAATAGTTTAATTTGTTAAAGCACAATTTGCAACATATGCTATATAAACTAGCATTTAGCATATTATAAATAAATAATTATAAATTATTTACAAAATTCTGAATTGAAAGTAATCAGACTATCTAACAGGCTAGGTTTCATCAGTACGGTTGATAGAAAACGGTTATACATTTCTAAGAATAAAATTTATGCACATTATATTAGTATTAAAAGTTAAGAAGATTGTAAAACCTGGATATTATTAAGTAAAAAAAATTGGTTTAGTTTCACATTGTTATAATTTTTTTTTATTTTATGGTTCCAATACAAAATACAGATGCGTAATTATGAATCTAAAATAGAGAAATAGTTATTATAAAAATAAAATTTTATTATTTTATTTATAAATACCTTATATTTTTTAAGTTAGATTTATTACAACATAATTGTTGGATATCCTTAAGATATAATGTATAATCCGTACAAGTATAGTGTTTATACTAAATCTTCTCATACACGATCGCTATATTTTGTTCGCCATACCTCAATCAGTAGTCATTTGGACAGAGAAATGTCTCTTAATTTTAGAAAGTATTTTGCAGTAAATTAAGAATGTAAGCACCGATGTCTTCGTCTTCATTTGTCCAATTAACCGTAATTGTTTTGTGTTGAGTATCTTTTTCATCTTCCTCAACTTTTAAACTCACAGTTTCGATACACACATTGCCAGTCTCGTTTACTTTTACTTCCCAGCCAACCATCTTTTCCTGCAGCATTTCATAGAGGCTTTGTTGAAGTTTAATAATTGGATTTGAATAATCAATTTTCACTTTTGATGTGAAACGCATTACATGTCGATTTATTCCAACCTCCTTTAGTGCTTCAGTCAAACTTTGCAACATAATTCGATTATCTTTGATAACAAGCACACCATGAATTAAACGTCTTCGTTTTGGATCTGGCGGCTGTGCATTGTACTTACGATTTTCACTTTTGAGTAATGCAACGGACGCATCACAAGGTATACGTAATGGAGTAGTTATAACACAAGTTTCGCCATTGCTTGGCATATATGTTTCAATTTTAAATTCTTCCATAATTTTATGGCGCAAAAACTCCATTTTATCGGACTCACCATGCACAAGCATCACATTTTTTGGTTCACAATTTTGTATAAGTTGCATTATACCTTTTGCATCAGCATGCGCCGAAAAGCTCATGTATTCCACAGCCATTTTGACATCGACAATTTGTCGGTTTTCGAACTCGATTCTTTTGACACCACTTAATATTTTGTTACCAACCGTACCCTGCACACAATAGCCTGGCATTACGACCATGTTATTTTCATTCGGTGCCCACTTCTTAAAAATTTGTAGTGACAGACCCGCGTGCAACATTCCTGGTGTGGCAAACACAACCATTGCACCTGGGTTATCGGTGTACGCTTTATCAAAAGGCTTTATATGTTTAAAATCAAACATATTGCGCTGTACAAAAGTTTTTCGTATTTTCTGGTTTGTCCAAGTAATAAACATTTTATAATATGTATTCGCTTTTTCTGTTAGACCCAAAGCAAAGTAAATTGGAATTTTTAAGTTCATGCGTTCCCAATATGTTTCTAGCAATATGCATAATTCCTGGGCACGTCCCAACGCAAACACTGGTATCAATACTTTACCGCCTTTATTGACACACTCATGCACCTTCTTCAAAAAATCACGTTCACGACAACGCTTGGAATCACGAATGGTTGTAGCATAAGTGCTTTCGGTTATAAGTAAATCTGGGCGACATTTATCAATCCATGCAGCGCCCAAATGTCGATCTGGAGTCATATTATAATCGCCTGTATAAACTACTGATTGAGAACCCACACGTATCCAAAACATAGCAGCACCCAAAACGTGGCCTGCATAATAGGCTTTTATTTCCAAATCATTATCAACCATTACACTTTGGTGCAATGTGACAGGAATAACTTTTTTCATGCAGTCTTTTATATTCTGTGTCGTAAAGAAATTCGATTCGCCCTTACGTTCTACTGCCACTTTACGCATATCTTCTAGCAGTATAGGCGCTATTGCCTTCGTTGGATGTGTCATGTAAATTGGTCCATTGTAACCAATTACTTCAGACATATAAGGCAGTGCACCGCAATGATCTAAATGAAAATGTGATATAATAACGCAGTCAATATAGCTAGTGAGCAGTGCATCTGGCATAATATATGAAAAATCAGGGAAGCGCCGCTCGTCGTTAAATCCCATATGCATGCCACAATCCAACATAATATTTTTATTGCCCATAGAAAGTAATATGCAGCTGCGGCCAACATCTTGGCCAGCTCCAAGCGGTGTTATTTTAATTTCTGGCATTTTGCTTTGATATCACTTAACAAGCAACAATTTTTTTTTATAACACAGTGAATTATTTTATTTTTATTTACTTAGATCAGTACATATTAATCTCACTATCAATAAATTTGATAATATCACTAATGATGCCTGAATCACACAATACAACTAGTAAAACCTAACGCATGTTGCATTTAACAACATATGAACAGTTCACAATAATTAAATAACAAAATACTGAAAATGACACTTGAAAATCTGCCAACCGAGCATTCACAATAACTTGTTAATGATTGCTAAAAAAAAATTTCATATATAAAATTTTAAAACCATATTATAGCCGTGTGCGAGTTTGAGTAAACTGATAGCAAATTGCTTGAAATAGTAAATTATGTCGTTATGGCAGCGAATGTAGGTATCTACCAAAATTTCGAGAAGGGTATATTAGATAAAAATTATATATATTAAGTATTAACATTGAAAATTTTATAAAATGTTTAATAAATAAATAAATAAATTTGAGTACTTTTAACCAAAAATAATAAAAAAATAAATTTTAACATAAATGCAGTGTAAAAATCGCTATGAAATTTTAATTTACTTTACTTCAATTTGCTCAAACTCGCACACGGCCTATATCGTCCACAAATGCATGTTTGAAAAATTAGAAAATGCTTGTACACACAGTGATGTTAACCACATGAAGACTTTTTTGTTCATAATATTCAAATAAACACACTTAAGTAAAGAGGAGAACAAAATAAAAATACAGCAATCTTTTTTTCTCAATATATAATGTATTACACTTGAAAGCAAATAAAAATATAAATGAGTTATTACTAACAATTGGGGAAACAAAAATTATATTGAATTTATATGTTAAAGCATTTTAACAGCATTTTTTGATCTAATCGACAAACTTCTACCGTACAAATAGAATGACAAATTTACTTACTACTGATAGAAAAATTTCTATCGGTTTACAGATCACAATACCAAAATTCGGTATTATCTATTAGCAGTAGAAACTTGTCTACTGACATTCAGCGGTAGATAACCCATAATAGGCACTATTGCTTTTGTTAACAGAATTGCACATGCTATAAAATATTTTGCTTAAATATACAAAATTATAATACAAATATGATATGGAAACTTATATATATATATAAATATGTATAAATGTATAATATAATTTGATGTATATATAATTTTATGTATTTAACAATTCACATACCTTTTCATGTTGTTAATAAATATGCTAAACTAGTACTGATATGCTGAAGTATAAAAATTCCAATTGCTAAATAGAAATGAATGCGTAAGTGCATATCTTGTAAAATCGCTTAAAGAAATAAATGCATATAAATTAGCAACAGCTTATTCCAAAGTTCGAATTTAACGATTTAGCAAGTTACTATACCCTGCACTATGTTAATTTGCTAAATTGTTAAACACAAATGATTCATGTATATTAATGTACATACTTTTAACACATTTAACATTTTAACCATTTAAAATGATATTAAGGTCGTGTGCGAGTTAGGCTAAGTTGCGTTCTAAATGAGGGAAATTCTAAGTAGTGCCGATAATGTAGTGATGTGTCGATACGTGTTGATAAATGGCTAAATGTGTGCAGTGCAAAAAACCCCAAAAAATCTCCCATTTGGTTTAGCATCAACTTAGCCTAACTCGCACACGTCCTAAAATACAAATCAAAATAATGAAAAAGTTCACTATAAAATGACGATTTCGACTTTGATTGAATTGTGTGACTAAAAACAACAAGTTGCTTGCTTAAAGTTGCTAAAATGTACGCAAAGTATATTAGTACATATATCTAAGCACCTAACTGTGAAATGGGTAAACATTTTAGGAACTGCAGAAAAAAAGTTACTAACGGAATAAGTAATATATTGTGAATTTTCATTAGAAATTTTAAAGAACATTCCAGTCATCTGTCAAAGTTTGTAAACAAAAATACAAGCAAAATTAAAAAGTTTCACAAATATGGAAATTTTGAAAATGAAATATTTAAAAAATATGCAACATTGTAGAAAACAAATCTATATATATATAAGTATTATTAAAAAACAGTTTAAAATTTTTAACTTATTAATTGCTAAAAAGTTAATACTTATTCAAGCATAAATATTCTAAACTATTTTTAATTTTGTTGTAAAAGGAAATTATAAAATTTCCCGCGTTGTGAACATTGCTTTTAGTTAATATATTTTAATTGATAATTTTAGCTCTTATATACCATATATTTTATACAAAATGCAATTTGTTTGCATTTTGTGCACATATGCAAGATTTGATCTTTGCGAAAACATGACATTTAACAGATTGCAATAGCGATGCCAATATATCGCTTAACTGTAAAAACCACCGATAGCACCTCATATCAGTTTTTCAAGTTAGTAAAATTCAAACAAATTTGTTTGTACACTATTGTGAATAGTTGAGATTTGATAACATATGTTTTTGTGCTGTCTCACAGAAACTATTGTGACTTGCCTTTCTGATATGAAGGAGAAATATTTATGCCTTGTAATTGTTGAATTTGGATTAATATTTTATGTAATATTTATATTATAAGACATTCAACATTTATCGAATAATGAAACGTGTGGTAATTATAAAAATGAATGAATGGATGGTTTGATAAATATTTAATGGATGTTTGACAATTTGTGTACTAGCGAAAATTCGGAAGCATCTGCATTATACCAACCACCTGATTTATAATAATGATTGAGTGGTATTAGGACTTTATCTTGCTGTTGGCGTCTTTAAGCCATTTTTCAACATGTACATGTGCCTGGCGCATACACCAATTTGTAGGATTTACCATTGTGGGTTATTTAAGAAAGGCTGAGAAATTGAAACCTAATGAGAACCTCAACACGATTTGCAATTATTTGGATTTCTTTTATTTGAAACCATTTTTAAGAAAAAGTACTTGAAAATAACTAAATAAGGTATTGTTATATATGTTATAGAATATCTATAATATTTTTATTCTTTTTCCATGCAGGACTTAGAGTAAATCATGAATGAAATCATTGATAGCTGTCCTCATTAATTGTGGAAACTTTTATTAAGAAAGAATCAGCAGTTTCAACGCAACTAATTTTGTAGTCAGTTATTTTTATATACAAATAGTAAGGGGTGTATTTTATATTACATATGTATTATATATTATCAACACTTAATTCTTCAAATTAAAAATCCCCAAGACACAATGAGAGATGAAAAGTTCAGTTAATAATAAATTCTCTATAACTCTAGTCGTATTTGAAAGCAGTAGCGCCGTCTCTTCAGTAAAACTCTTTTTTAATCACATTCGGTTTAATTATTTGTTTTTATACATTATATTTATACATTTCATATTTATACATACATTTATACATTATTTTTATACATTATATTTGCTTTCAAGTAAAAAGCTAAGTTGTAAAAAAATTTAAGAAAGTTATTGTATTTCAGAGTTATAATTGCTATAGTCATCACAGATTCATTTTCATGTAGAAGGTGAAAATTATTCGCTAAATAAATTCACAGTCAATTGTTTTTTATGACGATTGCTAAATTTAAAGTTTTCGTTTCGGCGATTTCTATAGTATTATCTTGTAATTTTTATAAAGCGGCTAATAGTTGGGTATCTGATGTTAATGCACTTTTTATAGCTATTATCGTATAAAAATTACTTTATTTGCTAAATGTGGAGTGTTTTGGTATAGAAATTTTGTAATATTTATATCAGAAGACGATGAAGGGAAGTTAGGCAATATAAAAGGAGGCGGATGGATATGATTTGAAAATAATTATAAGACAAAGTCGGAAGCCGCTGCAGCTCAAGTCTAGTGTAAACGTTTTACGAATAGATGTGTGATATCATAAGAAGTAGAGTTGCAGCTAAGGCACACGTTGGGCACGGTCTTCTTTATACTGCTCTGCTATGGGCAGCTGAAAGTCTTTGTCAATATTCGGCTTGACTGATTTTTCGTTCGTTGCGGAAGGTTTTGAACAAATATGACTTCACACAATGGTGCCTATTGTGTATGTCTATTTGTCTGGTACAAGAGGATAAAGCTATTTATATGTTAAAGTCGATATAGCTGATTTAAGAGTTCATGTCTATTTGCTTGTATAAGAGTACAGATACAGATACACAGATATAAACTATTGATTTTCTTGTCTATTTTATTTGCTTGATTTTAATTAATTATTGTATTTTTTTCACGATTAAAAATTAATATATTATGTCAGTCAATATTGAAACTAGTTAAAAATAAATTTGAAATTAAAGATAGCATGGAACTAAAAAATTTTTATAATAAATAAGATTTTGCTGAAGACTTTATGTAAATGAATTTTGATCTAAATGCTATATTGTATTTTTATTACAAAAAATTGAATAAGTACAACAGTAATAAAATTAATCGATCTGTTGCTTTATGTTTATGAAATCTGATTTTCTTTAAAAAAGAGAGTTTTTCTAGCTAAATGATTGATATATGTTTGTAATATTTTTTTTTTTGGTAATTTACAATTTCTGTTTAAAGATTACTAATACACCATGGTGCCTTAGTCCATCAGAGTTCGTATTTTTAATTTAACTCATCGTCAGTTGGTTGTCCTATAACAAAATTTCAAATCGGTATAGATATGTAGCTTCGAATTTTACAGTTTAATGTCAGATCAGGTATGAAATTATCCCTACCGAAATAAATATACAAACCGATTGTTTGTATTAAAGAAAAAGAAGTTTTCTTGAAGTCTTTTGATTTTTATATTCGAATGCAAATATATATTGTTTAGGAATATCTATTTTAAACAAAAATTTGTATGTGATAGTGAAATATTAAGAATTTGCGCAAAGATCTTTGCAAAGTTTGTAAAAGTAGTATATTAGTAGTATAAAGTATATTCCAACGATTTAGGTTGTTCACCATTTTTAAGATGTCTTATATTACTGTTGGAAATAGACTTGTCAGAACACATTAGGATAAATTCTTTGCTTTTTTTATTGCAATATTGAGCACAATTATTATCAGATGACTTTTTCTAATAATAAAGAGTTATCTTTCTATCCTTGATGAATACAATGTATTAAACACGGTACATAAACTTAGTACATTATGTAAAAACCGCTATATTAACAGCTCTTTTAAAGGTTAAATTTTTAGTAAAATTACGATAAGATTTTACTTAAATCTTAAGACTGGTCCTGGTCCTCTATTCATCTCTGAAAATGAATTTAAGTTATTACTTTTTGATTTCTAAAGCAACTACGATAATATGTCGTTCGTATTACAAAATTTATTTTCAAATATTTTCAAAATACTTTTTAATCAAATATTTAATTTAATATTTATTTATAATATATTTATATTAATTTGATTTTTAACATTAATTAAAAATCAACGAAATCGAAAATAATATAAACTATTGTTTTCAATAGAGAGATATTTTGTACAGTAGTAAATTATAACAATAAAAATTTTATTATTTTATTAATTAATTGAATTTTTGGCTAACCATACAGCTGTTTCAAGTATTGCCAAATGGCCATCATCAATGATCTTGGAATTATTTCTTATATTTTATTATTCGCTACTAATTTTTTGAGACTGTACCAGGCATTGAACTCGTGCCCTGTCAAATTTGAAGCTTAGAGTCAGTGTTCACTTGCTAACTGACCCAAAGCCATACTTGATTTGTATACTCGAATTTGGAATTTTATTAATTTGCAATGTTTTATAACAATATATGCAATTATAATTATATTAAAATATATTAATATTTTATATTATTATATATTTATGTTATATATATTTTTAAAATTTATATATTGTATATATAAATATATATTTATTTATACTTACTTATGATATGTATTGCGAATTTCATTGTAGGGTCTTCGCACAATTTTCCTTCTACCAGTTTTCTATGTGTTGGATCGATATCGTGTTGATGTTATCGATGAGAAAATTGATGTTTCAAATAATTGTGCATATTGGGAACTGACAGAAAAATATACTGGGGCTGAACCACCCATAGTACGAACAAATAATGATTTTGATGCACCAGCAAAACTTTTGATGGAAGTGGATGATCAATACACAAGGTAATATCTTTATTGCTTTCATTTATGATTGTATTTTATTTTTAATAAATATAATAAAATATATTTTTATAAAAGCAAATAAAATAAAATAATTTAGAATATAAATTTATAATAAACTAAATAATACTTTTATATTGCAGTCATTTAATGAGTACTGTTTTACAATTCCAATTGTATAAACGTTTCTGTGAATTGACAGGACAATATAAACAGGATGATCCTAACTTACCTTTAGATTTGTGTGATTTATCAAATCAAACGATTATTGGTCCATTATTGTTGTAAGCACCTATTTTTTTTATTATGCACTTACAATATACATTAATATTATTTAAAAATATTTGCAGAGATGCTATATCGTTGGGTTCTTCGAAATCTTATAAAGACATTATTTATATGCTAACTAATGACAATGAACTGAAATTAGATGGTTTGTTGGAATATTTTCAACCTCTTTATGACTGGTTAGTTGAACAGAATAAATTACGAAATGAGGAAATTGGTTGGACCAATTCAGATCGTAAGTATTTTCGAAGCACTTAACAAAAATTATTTAATTAATATTATTTTAATTTGATTTGCAGGTTGTGTATCATAAATTTAAGTTGAAATAACTAGATTAAGTTTCAATAAAAATATTTTATTCTTTTTATTTTAACTTATAAGTAAATAAAATTCAATATTGGTATTTACAGAAAAAGTTTATATTTAATTAATATTTATTATTTTTAATATAGAATAATGTATAACAGCTCATACAGTTCTTAAGGCAAATATCATTTTATCTTAAATAGTTTTAAAATAAATGTTCATTATTATTATTGTATAGTATATTAAATAATAAACTGCTTAGTAAAACATTACAAATACCGTCAACAGTTAGTTATTTTAATCAATAAAACAAAAATGTAATATAATTGTAATAATTAACAAAAAGCTCATTAGGTTATGACTGAGGAAATTTGTTGGAATAAGATTATAGATAAGCACATTAATTTACGTTTTTTTGACATTTTTCAAGTTTTTAATTTAGTAATTCGTAAAGTATGCAAATGGACGTGTAAGTAATTTAAAACTAGTTGGTTAAATTATCAACTAAATTTATTTCCAGAGTCTTACCGAATTGCGATAGTCATAATATATGTATAAGCTAACACTCGAGTCTTTCTAATTCGGCCTTTTGCTTAATTTCATTAACGGATTAATCATGCGATATTATTTGAACGCATAGTTGCTGCCAAACGGGACATTATTTTGTTTGTCTGGAAAAGTCCCGTTTGACTTCGGTAGCTCTCAACTCCACAGAAGCTTGCTTATTCACTATTACTTGAGCTTTGAAATAAACCACACGCGCTCATTCAATACAAATTAAATATTAAATAAATACTTAAAATAATTATAAAAACTAAAAAGTCTTCTTAATTATTAAAAAATTTATACAAAATAAAAATATAATATAAGATTAACTTATATTATTTGAAAATTTTGTAAGGGTTATGTTGTGTTGTTACACATCTGGAAGTGGTTCCAGAAAGTAGATCCACGTAATAATCGAATCTGTTTTTACCAACAGTGATTGTTCTCTACAGAAGTAAAAAATAAGCAATGTAATTTATTTTCCTCTATTAACATAACTTAATTATTGTAAAGAACGCTCGACTTTAAAAATATATTATATTTTTTTTTAAAAATAATTATAAGCAAACTTAATTCTTAGAGAATTAAAATCTAGATAATAACTTCATAATAATATCAGCATAAGTTCTGAAACAGCTTTAGGTTTAGCTGTACCCCTTGCGCTGTCTTTTTATGAAGACCAAATTCGTTAATGTTGACATGACGTGTTAGTCCAGCTACTTTCATAGCAAATAACCTGCCAAGATTACGATGGAGTTTTCAGTTTCTGACATCAAAGGATCCATAAACTACACTTCACAATACTTTATGTTGAAAGGTTATTTTCAAAGTCGTGTTCTGTCTTATTACAATGCCGCTTAAAACATAGAACGTGACATAGAACGAGTTCTAAGAGTATGATTGGCTTCAAAGCTACTGAATCTGTAATGGCTCAGATGTTTGCACTAAAATAAATGTCTCAGATTTAACGGTGATGCTCGTATGATTTTGTAGAGTTTAGATAAGCTTTTAACTGTAACTACTACTTAACTACTCTCTGAACAAACTACTACTTAACTACTCTCTGATTTAAGGGCCTGAAGAAAATTCATTCGAATTGACGTTATTACGCTAAAAAACAACAAAGAGAAAGTGCTCTTATAGAAAGTATGCAATAATGCTGTTGACATCGATTCAAGAGTAAAATATGGAGGTTAACAATAGTTCTTTTCAATCAATTATTTATTCTGCGACAAAAGTCTTCATACTTTACTATAAATAGTTCTTTGTTGACATAGCATTCAGAGCTAGATATAAAATATATGCTTTTCTTTGAATATGTAAAACAGCACATGTATCTGAAATTGTAATGTGGGTAATGACTACTTTGGAAGGGAAATGTAATATTATGAGAAAAAACTTTATAGAAAAAACAAAATGAGACATATAGATAATAATTAATTACTGTGCGTAGTAATCGTGGAATATACGCTACTAACAGCAAGATATATAAGACGTTCATAAAGAAGACTAATGAACCGATTTAAAGAAACTGGTGAATAGTAAGAAATAGAAAATATTGGAGAAATATTATTTACTTATTGTAGTGCAGATTTGACTCTTTTCGTTCTATTCTCGGCATTTTTGTTTATGGCTACTCTGATGGAAATAATGCTTCTAAGGTAACCGACATTTTTTTTTAGTTTTGTTCCTCTTGACCAATGCTATAGTCAAAGTTCTTAGGCAGTTTATTTTTGACTGATTCCTGTGTCTATGTGTGTCAGTTGTTATCATATACGAAATAAAAAATCTGGAAGTATTTTTGAAAGGTCTATTTTATTGTGTGTGTATACTATGAAAATACTATAGTCAATGTTTTTAGGTAGTTTATTTTTGACTGATATCTGTGGCTATAGGTAAGTGGCAGATGATGTCATATACGAAATCTGGAAGAATTGTTTAATGGTCTATTTTATTGTGTGTGTATTGTAACCCACGTTAGAAGAGTGGGCCCTTGTTTGTCCTGGTGGTTCCGGGATATAGAACCAGTCCCTCTTAGAACTATTTCACTATATTAAAATAACTACATTAATTTTGTATGAAAGTTTTGTTTCATCAAAATAAGGCACCGGCTTACACTTTGGTAGTTACGAATGCAAAAATTTACAAATGCCATTTTAAATTAATTAATCATCCATTGGCTTAAATGAAAAAAACTTTTCTAAAATATAAAGAGAGCATCCACTGTAAATGAATATTTTGAAATCTTTGATACGAAGCACCATTTAAAGAGCTAATAGTGTTTAAATAATAGTTTGAAAAACTATTGTGTTTCTAGCAGGGCTTCTTATCGGGTTTCTTATCGGTTTTCTAGCAGGGCGCTAGAATAATTTTTCGGAAAATTGTTTTGCCTCCTAGACTACTGCCATGTCTACGTTCAGATGTAACTATAGCACATAATGAAAGAAACCAAATTCATTTTATTACGGATAATTAAGGTATGTAATTCCTCGCAAGTGTTAAAACAATAAGGATTAGAATTACGATTTCAAGCCATACTAATGTTGTGAGAGCTGTAAGGTTAATGTTCTGGTTAAACTCAGTACTATGATTTCGCAAACCACAGTAAAGTCATAGATGAGAGTTCCTATATTCTTCCTTAATATAGCAAGACATCTCTAGATATTTTTAGTAAGTTTAATAAGTAATACTTTCAACGTATATACGACTGTCATTAAAGACAGTGAGTATGTTTGATAGGTATACATGCGACTAGATTGAGTGCTTACTGAAGAGACTTCTGCAGAAATTGTTATGATCTCTGAAATATTCTCTTTTACCTTCACTTGTAAACTTATATTATAAAAGTGATAATGAAAATTCTAATGGAAGTCTTCAATAGAAGAGAGAAAAAGAATTTGAAACTGCGAAGCCTGATCAGAAAGTAGCGAAGTATAAACACGGAACCTGTGATTTAATACGGATCACTAAACAAAGTATAATATCAAATGTATAATATGACTCACATGTAATGATGAATGATATCTGGTCTATATTATGTCAAATGGAGTAGTTATAATTGGGACGGACAGACGGTTAATGGCAAAGTACTGAATATGCATATGTTTAATATAAGTGGGCGTTTTAAATTTTAGAGACCGCTTGAGAAATTATATTTTAAAGATACTTTTGCATAAGTTAAGAATAAAGAAAATTTTTTTTTGAAAAATTTATTGAAATTATTATCTTTTTTGCTCACAAACATTTAAGAAAATTAAATTTTAAAATGAAGCTATTTTTTAATCAAAAGTCTTTTCATTGGTTTCATCTTTGGCACTGCTAAAAATGACACATTTTTAATGATTTGGAATTATAATAATAATAAATAAAATATTGATGTGAGGTATACACATGTGGTCATGTCAAGTTATTGTATACTCATTCATTAAGTTTTTCTAATATCTATAACAATGGCCTTCGTTTTCCACAAGTTTGGCTGTTAAATGATATCCTCACATCCATATATGGGCTATGACTCGCATATAATATTTTTTGTTCACAATTTATCTATCTGAAAGGAGTTCTGGATGTATTACAGCACAGTAATAGAAAAAAATGATCTTCAGCTGATCTTAAATTGAATCCTAACCTTGAAACAAACTCTATATAAAACTATATAAAGTTTTCAAGCTGAGGATACTGAGGATGTGCTGACACTATATAACTATGTATGGTATTTACAGCTATATAAAGTTCCAAAATCATTTTTCAAACAGAAATCTAAAATTAACTTAGATTAAGCTCAGTCTGACTTCATGGTTCGATTTCACTAAAAATATGATCAATCCAAAATTGAATTTTAAACTGCCTTAATAGCTAGATATGAATAAAAGAATTCAACTCCTAAGTTTAATCAATCATTCGATCAGTTTTCATTCAAACTGCCAGTTTCTAAATAAAAAACTTATAGTGTCAGTTGAAATAATTTTTATTATATTTTGGATCCGTATTGCATTAAAACTTCTTGTTAACAAAAAAGGATACAAGATTATGATTTTATGCAATGAAAATCCAAATTTCTAATCATACCTATATGTAATTCAATTCAGGTGTACTTTTAATTTTTTTCGCAACTATTAGGTACAAAATGAATGATCCAGATACATCAATAAAGGTAAATTTAAATATAACATATCAATAAATTCATTTAAATAACCACTTATTAATATTTTTAATTTTGAAGTCTTCTCTGGATGAGGCTATTCGAGAGACAACTCTTATGTCTTCACTACTGGACTTCAACATAAAAGAATCAAAACCTCGGGCAATTCAAATGATGGGTAAACTAATGACCAGTATTTCAAGAGTCGTCCCAGGAATGGAAAATATAATACCTAAGTTAGTTGAGTCTCTGAACCATCAAGAAGTCGATATACGTATTAAAAGTATTTTGGCAATTTTGCGTATATCAGCAAGAACCATTAAGGGGCCAAATCTACTTAAAACTGAAGATGACTCCTTTGTAGATATAAATGAAATTTGCAACATTGAGTCCAACACGTATGATCTTGTCTTCCAAAAATTGCAGGAGGCTTTGATACTCGGTCAAATGTCCGTACTTTACCTTGTTAAACAAGAAATATTTGAGACACTTTTGGTAGTTATTAGAAGTAGTCACATAAAAAGACGGCATATACACGTGATTGCATTAATGCTATACTATACATATCATCACAGTGTAGAGTTATCTGATAAAACAGGAAAAGATTTATTGCATTTGTTTCAAGTATTATTGACCGTAGTTGACAAAGCTCACATGAAGTGGATCCTAAAAGGGTTGCGGGGTCTGGTTAAACATCCAAAAACAATTTCTCTACTACTTCAAACGGGCATATTAAATACATTAAGCACTTTAATTGTACATAAAGACGATGATGTAAAAAAAGATGCCTTGAGACTTTTTGTTGATATTAGCACAAACGTTTATATCAAAAATAATCCTTACGCTCTCCGTATTCCACTAAACAATGTTCTCAACTTGCTTACACATACTGATGAAAATATTCGAAGATATTGTTTGGAGGTTCTACATTCTTTGACTGTAGTTAATAATGGATTAGTACATAGAGTCGTTCACAACGGTTTAGTTCCTTTGATAATACATGAGTTTGACAACAGCAATAGAACCATACAATATATAGTAATTAAAGTGATAAAAAATATAAGTGTTTATGGTAAAAAGTCTGATATTGTGAAACTTATTGATGAAAATGTTATTCCACTCTTGTGTCAATCAATTACACAGACTTCAAGTAAGGATGTTTACTGTGCTTTGACTTCCATATATAATATCTTGAAAATAGCTAGTGAATGCACTGAGTTGGCACTACGAGAATGCAAGGGTTTAGAGAAGATTGAAGTTCTCAAACATCATGAAGATATTAGTATTAAGAATCTGATAATGAAACTACAAGAAGATTTCCCACATTTATTTGAAGAAAATGTTTCTGAAATGTGAAAATTCCAGATAGAAAGTAAGACCAAAATTTCTTTGTAATATTCTATACGCAATATTGTGATCATTGAAACTATTATAAGTCAATAAATTACACCATCCTTTACATATTTTGAGAAAATAAAAAGCTAATCAATATTGCTAAAATCCTAAACTGCTTTTGTAAATTGTTTTTTAGAATTCATTTGCAAAAGTACGAGGGAATAATTTTTTCATTTATACGATAGATAAGCTTTATTTATATGAGAGGATTTTCTAAAATATATATTTTCAATTAGGCCATCTATTGGCACTTACATACGTTTTAAAATAAATGATTTGCCGATCTTAGTTTGAACATACAAGTCAAGTATGATTTTGGGGCAGTTGGCTAATGAACATTGACTCTCAGCACCAAATTTGGCAGGGTAAGAGTTCAGCCCTTGTTACTAGTTTCAAAATATTATTTACGGATAATTTAATACAAGAAACATTTCTAAGATCACTGATGATGGGTATTTGGCACTATTTAATATAGCTGTATGGTCACCCTAAAATTCAATTCATTAAAAATAAAAAAAAAAAATTTTTGTTGTTGTAATTTCATTATTGTCAAATAAAAACCACTCTTTTGGAAACAATAATTTATATTTAGAATTAAGTTTCGTCAAAACGGACGTTAAAAATCAGTTTAATAGCAAATATATATCTTAAAAGGCTCTGTCATATTTGATACTCATAATTACCATCATTATGATACTATTAATTAATTCATATTAATTATTAATAGTCAGCCAATGAAAACCAATTGCTTAGATATCAATTTTCAGCTCGAAATATTTGAATTTTGGTTTACAATTATTGTAGGACTTCTGGAGTTTATTCTGCGTTCACCGTCTTCTGTGATCTTTTAGGACGAATTCATTGTCAAACCTTTCATTTGAATCGTAGTAAATTGTTAACATTGTTTGTTCTTCTAAGAGTGTTATTTTCTCTGTTAGAAGGGTTTAAACAATAGTGAAGAAAAAACAACTAAAGTTTTTTAACTTATTTGTTGAAATTTGGCTGACTATACAACGCTGTTTCGAGTGCTGTCAAGTACTCATTATCAGTGGTCTTAGGAAATGTTCGAATTTCTTTTTAATTAGCTTATAATCCGTATATAATTTGTTTGGACTGCAAGTGCCAGGCTTAGAACTCCTGCCTGTCAAATTAGAGAGGATAAATAATCGTGTTTTCTCACAAATAGCCAAGACTGCTCAAACTTTCAATGCTTAAGTTCCAAATTTTTTGTGTCTTTATTTGTAAGTGATACTAGCCAAGCACTTATCGTGCTTTAAATCAAAACGCGCTTATAAACTACAGTTTTATTTGGAAACATAATTATAATGGTTTGAAACTTATTTTTGTAGTTGTCTGTTTTTATTTCAAAGTTTTTGACTTTAACATTTTGTTCTTGGATTCTATTGGAAGACCATAGCTCAGCACCATCACCAGTTATAGTGACTGACATGTTTAACTGTAACTGCATCCCTTCAAAATATTTTTAACATATCTTTGCAAAGTAGAAGTCAGGAGTATATTTAGGTGTTCATCAGAGCACTCGCATAATGCACATTTATCGTTTACCGGAATTATATTTAATTGTCTATATCGCTTGTACAAATCTTCGATCAAAATTCAGTGGATTGTGCATTGCTCTCTATGAGTCTCTTTGATGAATTTTTCATACCTTTTTGATATTTTGTTCACTGCTAGTAGTTTCTGTCAGTAATGTTAGATTATCATTTACAAAGTTCTCTGTCCCGAATCAGCCAACGGAATTGGATTAACGGAAAACTTGCGGATGAAATATGCATTCATTCACGTACACAGTTTTTAGGATTGTGTAGATTTCGGGACCACTTCTTCTGAGAATTTAAAATCAAAATTATATATTCTCCCTTCGATAATACATAAAATATCAATTCAAATGCGAAAAGACAAACAAATTTGCTCAAATATTAAGAGTAAGTATGTTACATAAAGTAAGTGCATCACATACATCGGATTTACATGTGGCGTAACATAGTAGATGACAATTTAAAGCTTATTTAGTAAAATATTTCATTAACATTGAAAGGATTCACTAATAGATATAGTATTTTTATGGAACCATTGGATCTCAATGGAACTGCGACTGACTAAGCACAGTCATTTTTCAGATTAATTCTTTTAGACAAATTAAACTACTTAATTAATAGTGGTTGATGATTTTCAAACTGTTTGTGATTGAGAAGAGAAGCCAATTATTCCTGGAATGATATCTGCCGAGACTAAAGTAACAGAATCTGATACAAAAGGATGATGGTGCCCCTATGTTCCAATGGGAGAAGAGGATAAGAAAAGGAGAGTGATTGATAAATTTTAATAGGTATAAAATAAAATCTTAATCCATTTAAATGATTTATACATTTCTTGTACCACTGAACGTCTCCTATGTTAACGGTCTTTTGGTATAAAACAATATAAGGTATTAAAAAATGGAAAAAGTGTTAATAATATTTCAAATGTGTTCTTTAGTAATTTTTTGAATTGTAAAGAATTACTTGACAGACTATCTATTATTATTTCAAATATTATAATGTGTATTATTATGACATATTGTTTAATGACATGGTTTCTGACTTCTCGATAGTGAATAGTTATACGTACAAATATTTGAATGCTTATACCTTTTCTTAAGCCTCAGTAGTCTTCCAAAATTAGCTCAGACATACAAAGTAAGTCGTGGTTACTCTTCCAATAACAAATAAAAATACATTTCCGTATTTTAATTTTTAAAAATAATTTATGTTATTATTCACATACGATTGCTTAAGTGATTTAGAGTTGACTTAATTTATTTATTAAGTAAAATACACTAAAATATTTTAAGTGAAGGTTACGCTAGAGTGGAATAATTAGTAAGTAATTATGTTACTGACATGTTAACCTATATTTTTTATTTTAGATACGTAATTCTTTATGGGGCGAGTGTGATATATTAATTATGTACAATATTTTAAAAAAATTTATTACCTAACCCAATTGCAGTACGACAGTAGAGCACCTGCTTAAATAAATCAAAGTATCTCATAAAGATCACTTTAAGTGAGCTGATGGGTGTGTCATTGATTCATTAATTCTGACAAGTATATACACCAACACAAAAAGGTGATTTTTCGAAACTAATTTGATTATTCAACAACCGCACTAAAGCACTGTAATTAATGATACCAAGTTATGAATATCGTCTGTCCACATCCAAATTAACATCCGTACCTGGATTCGCAGTTCATTAAGATTTTAAACAAGACCAGTCGAACTATGAGTAGGGCGGCTGAGAGAATGAGTACTTGCATGAGACATCCTCATCATGGCTACATTCTGTAATTCGTATAATGTATTTATTATTGCTATTATTATTATTTATTCTGTTCATTTTGTTAATGTTTAGTGGTGTGATTAATATTCGCAGCGAAAAATGAGTTAAGTAATTGAAATTTTCATTGTAGTTCAGTTGAAAACACAAATAAATGATCAAATCGTGTTTCATACGGGCAGCGTATCTAACGACTCCGCGGGAGAACAACTGAACTGGACTAAGAAACTGATTGACGCACTGACAGGCGGTTTGTCAGACGGTCGAATACTGTACTTAGCCTGTCACGCCAGGCTAAATTGTATTGAAGATTTCAATAATAGCATTTACATTTAACAGTGTAATTTTCAAATATTTTAATTATTTTAGTTAAGTCCGAAATGCAATTACTGAGAGTGAATAATTCGTAATGTTGGGAAATACTAACGAAAATTACGTGTTTCAAATAGATTCAAAATTGTACACAAAATAATTTCAATTATAAAATCGTTTACAGATCTATGCGATGGATAAGAAAAGCTTTATTTTCTCGGAACAACATCTTAGTCATTTAAATTTAAATATTATTCGATTAAATCATTAACTATAAAACATTACTGCTTTTGAAGAAGACTTTGGGGTCATCAGCAGTTCATGATAAGAAGGTTTCGATGTTTCAAAAATGTTCACTTAATATGCCGAAAATGTAATTATTTTATATTTTATATTTACTCTATATATAAAATATTCGTAAAGTTTTCTCCTTGAATCTAAAAGGTCAATACAACAATACACTTTGACAATAACATCCACATTTAAAGAAATTTCTGGTAAATGTTTGAAGGCGATATAAAATTATTCTCAGAAAAAAAACAGATATTATAATACTAATAGTCATATTATAATGACCAATTATTAACTATTATTAATAGTTATATTATGACCGCATCTAGCACAGAGACTTTAAGCTATGTTGTGTCCCTTCATCAGGTAAACATAAATCTTCTATGGTATACTTTCTCAACAAATAGTTATATTTAAAACGAAGTTTTAATATAATTTAAATTATTTTTCTATTATTAAATTAAGTTAAAATAAATTATAATATATTGTATTATAATAAATTAAATTAAATTAAATTATATTAAATTATATTAAACTATATTAAATTATATTAAATAATATTAATTTATATTATATTATATTATATTAAATTATATTAAATTATATTAAATTATTTAAAAATAAATTAAAATAAATTAAATTAAATTAAATTAAATTAAATTAAATTAAATTAAATTAAATTAAATTAAATTAAATTAAATTAAATTAAATCAAACGAAATGAAATGAAATGAAATTAAATTAAATTAAATTAAATTATATTAAACTATATTAAATTATAATAAATAATATTAATTTACATTATATTAAATTATATTAAAATAAATTAAATTAAATTAAATTAAACTAAATTAAATAAAATTTTAATTTCTTGTGTCGAAACTGACGCGTATTATGACGAAAAGAAACTTTTTAAAAGTTAAAAGGGTTTGAATAGAAATGAAAAGACATCAACAAAAATTGTTTGTTAATTTATTGAAATTTGGCTTACTCTACAACGCTGTTTCGAGTATTATCACATATTCATCATCAGTGGTTTTAGGAAATATTTGCATTTTTTAATCAGTTTATAGTCCTGCTATAAGCCTGGGCTACTATTACCAGGCGCAGAA